CGGGCGCCGTCTTGTGCTGGCCTTGGCCTGATAGCTACTCCAGTCGCGACTTGGTAGGTGGATTTGTACGTACTACTACTTCGTTCGTAGTGGTGTCGTCAGCAAAGTGCAAAATGCAGCTACTGAAATTTACAGAGGATGCACAAATGCAAGGGAAAAAAACGTGAGCACTTTTCGTCGCGGTTGTGATTAAAAGAGAGGGCGTGTCACGCACTCACGTCTCACGGCACGCACCCACCGCGAGAGGCTAGCGGAGAGGAAGACGTATCCCGTTTGGGGTGACCCATGCGTACCTACCTAATCCCTCCGTCTAAAAAAACTCAATTCTTAAGTTGCCGTGTACAACATTTAACTATTTATCTTATATGAATTTTTTCTATAATTAGTATTTTTATTGTTGTTAGATGATAAAACATGGATAATATTTTTTGTGTGACTTATTTTTAATATTTTTTAAAAATAATACGGACGTTCAAACGCTAGACACGAAAATCCAAAAATTGAGTTTTTTTTAGAGGGAGGATATGCGAGACCCATCGACCGTACCATTTATATACGCAGGCGTGCGTCACGCATACGCAGTAAATAGGCATGGAGGCTCACTGCTTTGAAGTGCGGGTGGAAGAGGGAGGAGGGAGGCTCGATGGATGGATGGGTGTTTGTTCAGGCGCGCGGCGGGACCGGGCGCGGCGCGGGCGGGCGTGCCATGTGTGCGGGGAGATCAATTCTGGTGCGGTTTCGAGGCTCGAGGTGGGGGCACACCGGCGTGGAAGGGTGGGTGTGTACGGGCAAAGTCACCAAACCGAACAAGGGCTCCATCCCGCGCACGCGGAGGAATCCGAGGGCGCCGTCTGTGCCTGTGCCCCTGCGCGTCCTCCACTGTCTACGATGTGCATGGGGCGCACCTCATCGTGTTGAAATGCAAGGCTGCATTATCCACGGTTTCAACCGTAGCAATGAGGGTTTACCCTTGTATTGGCTCTTCCACTTTACATCCCGTACGTGCATGCGCTAGTAGCGGTAGGTAGCAGGAATAGGTGGTTGATCTTATAAAATCTAGATTTCAAAAATAACTAACTATGGGCTTTGGCATATAAAACGATCCTGACAAACTAGCACAATTTGATGATCAATAGTAGGTTCGACTAATCGACATGTGGTGTTGGATTATTGAGATCAACTGCTGACGTCTAGTGAGAATGGATATGGTTGCTTTACATTGCTACCGTCGAACATGTTCTTGGAATACGAGTATTTTGGTCATAGTTAGTAATAGAGGTTGTGTTTACTTCACACTAAAATTGAAAGTTTGGTTTAAATTAAAAGGATGTGATGGAAAAGTTGGAGGTTTGTGTGTAGGAAAGTTTTGATGTGATGAAAAAGTTAGAAGTTTAAAGAAAAACTTTAGAACTAAACACGGCGAGAGTTGGACAGAAATAGTGTTCAAAATAACCTTACAAACTTCAAATAGTATTAGAGTTCGCTTTAATTTTTTTGGGACATTTAAGAAACCTTACTAATCTAATGAAACCATTTTTTTCAAAATAAATAAATAAATGAAACAAGCATTTTTAGTGTATGGAACCAAAAAAACGGGAAGCTTGTCTGTAGATTACATGCTACAGGCAATTCAGGCCTCTTTTAGTTCCCAATTTTTATCACAAAAAGATCACGTCGAAACTTTAGACATATGCATAGAGCATCAAATATAGATAAAAATAAAAACTAATTGCACAGTTTGTATGAAAATCGTGAGACGAATCTTTTGAGCCTAATTAGTCAATGATTAGCCATAAGTGCTACAATAACCCACATGTGATAATGACGACTTAATTAGGCTCAAAAGATTCGTCTCGCGGTTTCCAGTCAAGTTATAAAATTAGATTTTTCATTCGTGTCCAAAAACTCTTTCCGACATACAGACAAACATCTGATGTGACACATAAATATTTTCTTTTCGCGAACTAAACACACCTTCAGTCCGATGCTCCATCCGTGATACTGCAACCATGACATCGATGGATGAGTGGCAACCCACATCTACACAGTGCAACTGTTTACGGCTGCCTGCATGATCAAATTAGTTCTTTTGCCGGAGCTATTTTGCCAATTTGGCCCACCCTAGATGTTTTTTTATCGATTTAGAGGGTGTGGTGCCAACTCACATGTTTCTATGGAGTCATAGAGTAACATCTACTCCTACAAACAGAGCACGCATGTGCTGCAATTGAAACACAGTTCTAATCATAGTTGATGTCTATCCTTGTGCAACAGTATATGTGTACATACAGTACAATTCGGTAGGTCGTATGTGTTAGAGTAGGATGTACGTTCTCTGCTTGTAGAATAAACGAAAACTATTCGCTGATTGCTGTTTACAATGCCGTACGAAATGTAGGAAATGAAGTGGATTTCGAGACAGGTACGGTGTAGAACACAGGCGTCGGTGAAATGTCCAAACGTGCAGGGACAGAGTTTCCTCTGTTCCAAGATGTCGCGTTTCTTCTGTTTCACCTGGTGGTTTTCCTGCCGTTTTGAACTTGAGGTTTTTTAAAAGTTTAAAACTCAACACCACTGCAAATCCAGGTTGTACAGTCGGCTAGAATGGATTTTCGCATATAGTTTGAGTGATCACCTATAACAAAAGGCCTATAAAAATAGTTTGATTTTCCACATAAATGTCCGGTTCTTCGAGAGGTTCGTATGCGAAAAACAATTTTCACATATGACAGTCCAAACAACCCCTCTTGTGCGGATGTATTTTAGCAAAAAAAAAAAAGTAAATTTAGATCCAATTTAACTTGCAGAGGATCACAAATTCCACAAAGCCCTAGCCACAATTGTCTTTGTAGTTGTTGAGTCGAAGGCCTCGCAGCGGCCACCATGAAGAATTCCATTGTGGATCGTTGTGGCATTGGTCGATTGCTGTTCTTTTAGGGCGGTTTGATTTGAAGTAAAAACTTACCCTACCAAGATATTGGCAAATTAAACAATAGTAGCCTGGTAATATTTGGTTTGCTACCAATACTTACTTATATCACACAGATGCTACCAAAAATATTTAGGGCCAATTTGGTTTGATGTCAAAATATGCACTACCAAATTGTTGGCATTTTGAATAGTAGTTTGGCTAGTGTTTGGTTTGCTACCAAAATGTGCCAATAAGACACATAAGTTGCTAAAGTATTTGGCATTACCAAAATTTGCCTATGATTTGGTATTGCCAATATTTTGACATGGTAGCAAACCAAACAAGCACTTATATTTGACAAAAGGATGCCCTTGATTTGGTATTGTCAACATTTTGCTATGGTAGCAAATCAAACCATCCCATAGTTACCTCGGCAGAAGAGTGTCCTTGTGGCCTATTATGGCATCCATTAGTCCTGTAAAGCTTGCACCTTATCCATTGTGTCATGTAAAGCTTGCATGCGTCTTTGAACTTGAAGAGTGACAGCATGATGGTCGGCTGGTCGCCATAGTTGGGTCTAACCTTACCCAGCACAGCTATGTTCAACAAAAGCATGCTACATTGCTACTTGCACAGTGTGGTACTACCAAGATCATTCTTGAGCACTCATCATTCTTTTGAGTCGCGGGCTGCATACAGTTCAATATCACAACATGGATGGCACAAATGCATGCATACATCGTGTTTAGTTCCAAAATTTTTCTTCAAACTTCTAACTTTTCCATCACATCAAAACTTTCATACACCACAAACTTCTAATTTTTCCGTCACATAGTTACAATTTCAACTAAACTTTTAATTTTGATGTGAAAACACACCCATACATACATACATTCAAGTGGTCAAGGAAGGTTCACGAGGCCGCGGCGGCAGATGGGGGGCTTCCCTCCATATTTTCCGGCGCCTTTTGTTCAAACATGGCATTGGCATCGAAACTTTAAACCACCACCACCGTATCGTATCGTCTAGCCTGCTATGCTACGTACTCGTCCTACTACCCCAGCAGAGCAGCAGCAGCTGATCGATGCGGTAGAAGAGGTGAAACCGCGCGCAAAGCAAAAGCAGTGGCCAAAACGAAAAGGAGAAGCCCCACACAAACGCAGGAGAACGTCAAGCCGTCAACCTGCACAGGCCACCGGCCATCCAGAGCCACAGCCGCGGCTGGCCGGCCGGCAGCGAGAGAGAGGTGCAGTGGATGGAAATCGGAATGGCACAACTTGCGATGGAAGCAAAGCGAAAGGCGAGCCAATCAACGCCCCAGCCGTTTGCTCCGTGTCCACGAACACGCGCCAGTGGCCGCGCCGCTTTTGGTCTCCCCTTTCCCTCCGCTGCCGCCGCTCCGTGTCATCGCGGCCGTCCATTTAGAACGAAGGGGATGACACATCTGCCACTGGCGTGTGGGGTCCCCGCTGTTTACACCGGCTGCGCGAAAGGCTGGAGCGCGAATGATAGGGCCAAAATCTGGCCGTGCCAATGCCATTGGCGAATTCGCGTTACGTCTACGAAAATGTGGTGTTGAACTTCTTTTTTTTGTTCGAGATGACAGTTACGAATTCCAAACGGATCGTTGGAGATTGTCGTGTTGGTGTTTGATGGGCAAAGATTTATGACTCGTGGGCTCATACCAGGATCCTGTACGATCTTGCAGCCGATTCCGCCGTGCATCATGCGATCGGATCACAACTTCACAAGCAATGCAAGGCAAGAGGTAATTGGCCGTGGAATCCAATACGATCCGAGTTACTCAATTCCGGATCCACTGCCCTGGCTTCCAACAGATTAATCACCACCAATCGGTGAAAAGAGAACAAACACTTCGCATGCATGCATGCACGCAAAGATTAATCTGCTCATGCTTTTGCTTTAGTTCGAACCAAGCCAAAAAAAAAAGAAAGAAAAAGGAGAATGAATAGTTCCAACTGCCCCGCGGTGCACGAGATGACGGCCGCAGCGAGGAGGCAAAATCACAGCTGTGGCAGTAGTACTTGTACGTACACACACAGTAGTAGTAGTGTACTACTGCTATTGCTACTACTACCACGCAGCGGGTGACACACACACACACAAAAAGTCACAAATCTCTACGTTTTTTTTCCTCGCGAGGCGTAGGGCGCGCATACGCGACGCGCGCCATTATTTGGTCCGCCTCGTGCCTCCATAAATACCGCCTCCGTCCCGTCCGCCTCCTCCCCCACACTCCACTCCACTCCACTCTCGCCGCTCGCCGTTGCCACTCGCACTCACAATGTCGCCGGCGCCGCGGGTGTTGGTGTTGGTGGTGGCCACAGTGGTGGCGCTGCAGGTGTCGCCGGCGGCGGGGCGGATCCCGGGGGCGTACGGGGGCGGGGAGTGGCAGAGCGCGCACGCAACGTTCTACGGGGGCAGCGACGCGTCAGGGACGATGGGCGGGGCGTGCGGGTACGGGAACCTGTACAGCCAGGGGTACGGGGTGAACAACGCGGCGCTGAGCACGGCGCTGTTCAACTCCGGGCAGAGCTGCGGCGCGTGCTTCGAGATCAAGTGCGTGAACCAGCCCGGGTGGGAGTGGTGCCACCCGGGGAGCCCCTCCATCCTCATCACCGCCACCAACTTCTGCCCGCCCAACTACGCCCTCCCCTCCGACAACGGCGGCTGGTGCAACCCTCCTCGCCCCCACTTCGACCTCGCCATGCCCATGTTCCTCCACATCGCCGAGTACCGCGCCGGCATCGTCCCCGTCTCCTACCGCCGGTAAATATAATCTCTCACCACCATTCTTGCTGCTAGTACTGCATTTCTTGGTGACGACATTCGCCTTGGTTAGAGGAGCAGGAACAGTAGTACTTCTAGGCTTGTTTTCTTGGTCCAATGGAAGCTTTTGTTTTGTTTTGTTTTCATTTCATTTCGCGTCTTTTGAGACGGCGTGGGGCTGCTGCTGCTGCTGCTTCTGCTTCTGCAGCGTTTTGGACTCCAGCCACTTCTGCTTCCGCACTGCTTTATTACTGTAGTAAATAAATTTGATACGGTATACTCCAGCGCGTAGTGGCTGCACGGCCAGGTGAGTAATATTTTCCGAGTGGGATGGAAATGTGCACCGACGGCGCGGCTTTAAAAGCGGAGGAGCGTGATAGTAGCGGCTAGAAACGCTGCTCACTGCCCGTAAAAAGTTGGCTTGGTACGTAGCTATAAATGGGGTGTCCCGTGTTCGCTTTGCCCTTGTGCATGTACTCGTGTACCGGCGCTACGCACCGTGGCTCGCATTGAGCCGAGCCCAAACTCTGCTTAGCGCTTAATCACTGCCAATTTTTTTTCCATACATTTGCTTGTAGTAGATCTCATGCTAGTGGTTACATTCCCATGCTTTAATTAACAGTACAGTAGAAAGGAGGAGTAGATTTTTGGGAGCATTGGCCTGAATAATTGTACCACTACACCATAAAGGGACACAAAAGATGTACAGGGAAAAAACAGCACTGTTACTGTGCAAATGTGTGTAGTGTAAGACCACTGGGCGCACTGGCAGCAGCGAGAGGCCCAGAGAAACATCCAACGCGAGTCAAGCGTGTAGTTGGGAGGAGTAGTAGAATTCCGTAGGGCCAAGGCGCACAGGCAAAACGCGCACACGCGCTTTTGACCTTTTTCGCTTTCCGCTGTGTTGTCCTGGCCCGGTTGGGTGGTTGGGTTGGTGCCGCCCCGTGATCCCGCTCCGTACCCGCGCCTCCCTCGCTTCGCTCTCCGCAACCTTGGCGTGGCGTCTCGCCGTCTCCCATGCCCTGGCGGGAAAGACGACGGTGTGAGGTGATGAGGTGAAATGGCAGGTCTGCCCCTCCGTTCCTTCTGTGGCTGGTCCCCTACTGCAGGGGCCTTCCCGTCCTTTCGTCCTGCCGGCACAACGTTACTACGCGTGAGGAGGCTGTGTGGCCCCATCTCTGCATGAACGACTGCACTCTCTTCCTGGTCATATGTCCTTGCCTCCTTTTGGCTCCTTGCTACCTATAGTTACAGCGAAATAATATTTGCTCCTACTACTAGTATTGTTCTGTTGATCTTGATTTTAATGTGATAATAATGCGTGGTTAATGAGTGATGAAAATGTTGGCGTGTGTGTGGTTTGCAGGGTGCCGTGCAGGAAGAAGGGAGGGGTTCGGTTCACGATAAACGGGTTCAGGTACTTCAACCTGGTGCTGATCACGAACGTGGCCGGGGCCGGGGACATCGTGAGGGCGAGCGTGAAGGGGACGAGCACCGGGTGGATGCCCATGTCGCGGAACTGGGGCCAGAACTGGCAGTCCAACTCCGTCCTCGTCGGCCAGGCGCTCTCGTTCCGCGTCACCGGCAGCGACCGCCGCACCTCCACATCCTGGAACGCCGCACCCGCCGGATGGCACTTCGGCCAGACCTTCGAGGGCAAGAACTTCCGGGTCTGAATTGAATGAAGCAAAACTGCAATATACCCTCTTATTTACTCATCTAGTAATTACTGTCATTATAGCGAGCAGGTGTGTTTTTTACCTTGGTTAAGTTTGGGTTCTTCTTCGGTTGGTGGCCTTGTCAAAGTGAGGGGCCGGGGGAAAACAGGTGGTAAAGACTAGTACTAGTGTCAATTAGGGTTAAACTGGTAAATTGCTAGTACTGCTGTTACTCATCATCATCATCGCTAGTGGTCACTGCTAGTAGTAGTTGTGCTAGTGCATGTATGGTTATGGATACTGCATCATGTTGGTTGGTGATGGATTTTGTCCATGTTTTGCCAAGGGGTTTGGTTTGGAGTTGGGGGTGATGGGGAGGATTTGTGCTCAAAGAGTGGCTGAAGTGGCTGCAAAGCTGCAGCTGAATTTGGGGGTGGTGAGTGTAGCCCGCAGCCGCTTGTGCCGTGTCATTTGTCTCTATGGCACTTGATGTTTATCATGGACTTGATTTATCATTATGGTGATTGGAGCTTGTAAGAAGATTAATTGCCTCTGTTCCTCTCGCTCTGTGTGTGTGTTTTATGTGATGTTCTGGTTGAGCATTTCAGCTTTGTAGTGCTGGAATGATGATTCTTGCCGGCTTCTTTCCGTGAATGCATTCTCTGTGTTCTCCGTGAGTTGCTCGATGGGGGAGTGCCGAAATTACGTGAAAGGGATAAAGGTGAAAGCAAAAGTGCGATGCGAGTAGACCGCTTTGGGAATGATTTTGCCTGTTCCGTTGCCTCAGTTCAGATGCAAGAATGGTTCATGATTGCGATGGCGTGATCGGCCATTCCATTCCTAAGCACGGCTTGCAGCATCATGCATTCATGCTGGCCTTGCAATTGCCATCGGAGGGCTACTTCAGGATTGGGAGTTATCAGTCTGCATCATCATGGGATGGAAGAACCAAATGCGCAACCTCTCTTCCTTAAAGTCAACATGCTGGATAGCCATCATCAGGTGTGTTGGGGCCGAAATCAATGGCTTTGACAGGGAGGTTAGCATTTGACAGTGTGGCTATAGCCCATAGCTATTTGATAAATTGTTATCCATCTCGCCGGAGATTTCGGCCCAAACCACTTCAGCATGACACCATCAGACCACTGAACACAACAGTAGACACCACTCAGTATGATCCAATGATGTGTTGATGACAATGTACCTATGGTGCATGCTGATCGATGAGCTACCAGGAAAGCTTGAACCCATTGAGACAGCCACGCCAGATTTGTAACATGAGCTCTACTTTAATGCCATGAGTTTCGACATACAACAGCATCTAGTTAGCTGAAGTTAAGAAGCTCATGATAATGCACAAAAAGGACTTGTTGCCAAAAGACTGATGACAACAAGGAATATGCACAACATATTTACAAACTACCAAATACCAACTAATGACACTCACATTCTGCCTTGCTAATGGGAGCGGACCAATGCTGTTGGATTCGGACCAATCTTTTCCCGAGTTTCTCCCAAGCTTTTCCGACGAGGCTTACCGCTGTTCTTGCTAGCATTTGCAGTAGGGGCTTTTTTGCCTGTACCTGTGGTGGATTCTTGACGCCTCTCTGCTGCTGGTTTCCTGTCCACATGGCTGGATTCTTGAAGCTCTTCAAGAATAGTGACCACAGCTTCCATAGAAGGCCTCATCTTAGCTTCGTACGACAGGCACTCAAGAGCAAGGGTGGCAACTGTTTGTGCTCCAACGTGAGAGTATTGACCTTCTAGCCTGGTATCCAGGACACGGAATATCTTGCGCTTATGTGTGAGGTATGGTCGGGCCCATTCCACAAGATTGTGTTCACCCTGGGGCCGGTTCTTGTCAATGGCACGACGACCTGACATCATCTCCAGCAGCACCACCCCAAAGCTATAAACATCACTCTTCGCAGTTAAATGGCCTGAAAGTATTGATACAATAAAACAAAGCTCAAGGCATATTGTACATGCACTTCTGGTACATCGTTCTAAAAATAACACGGTGATGTAAATCACTAAATGCACATAATTGCAACAGGTCCACAGTAAATAAAAGCTCACAACGTATGGCAAACAATGATTTGTTTCCCAACATCCTTCCATGTACATTTTGCAATTGAGATTAAACTAAACATCAAGCCATATATATCATTCCCCAAGGAGTGCGCATGCAGAAAAGGTGTATATGAAATTCATGGAAAGCAATACATTGGAGTGTTCATATGTTCATGCTTAGATGAGTTAGATTCTAAGCTAGATCACATTCCCAAAGTCAACAATGCAAAGAATGTCATAAAATGACATTTCCGATGTGGAGGATGCGTAAAAAACAATTCCACGTTATTAATATGCTTATAGCTATAACAATTCATGTAATTTACTGTAGACAACTACCTGGCCTGCCAATGTATGAATTTTCTAATCCAAGATCAGAAAACATGGAGAAAACTGAATACCAAAAACTACACTTCACAGGTTACCTGTTGAAAGATATTCTGGAGCAGCATAACCATATGTTCCCATCACCCTCGTGGATACATGGCTCTTCTCACCAACAGGACCATCCTTTGCCAATCCAAAATCAGATAGCTTTGCAGAATAGTCCTGAACAGTAATATAATACATTCCTTTCAGCAGGGATACATGCGCACTGAAGTGAAGTTGGTTATCAAAGATTTACTTTCACTTACTGTGTCAAGCAGAATATTGGAAGTCTTGAAATCTCGATAAATAACTTTTGCCTCTGAACTGTGAAGGTAAGCTAGTCCTTTTGCAGCTCCAAGTGCAACCTTCATTCTTAGGTTCCATGAAAGAGGCTGGAAATGCGAACCTCCTGCAACATGATTCAGATAGCAATTTATGATAAAAGGAACACGTGGCAATAGTGTATGCAATATGAAAAGAATGCCCCCAGATGAGCAGTGGAACAGGTCTTGTTTTAACTTACTCCTAAACAGATGATTTTCCAAGCTCCCACGTGGCATGAACTCATACACTAGCAGTCGATGCTCATCCTCTAAGCAATACCCAAATAGCTTCACAAGGTTGGGATGGCAAAACTGACCTAGGTAATTAACTTCTGCCTACATATTGAATATTTATACATCAAAGTTAGAAAATATCCAAGTAACCTTTCAAAAGGATAAAAAAAACAAGTATATGATTGACAAAAGCTGTATCCAATGGTATACTTAAAACAAGCATGGATTTGAAGGCAACACAACATAGAATAGCAGTCATACTCACCAACCATTCTCGGTGCCCTTGCAAACTCTCCTGGTTGAGTCTTTTCACAGCAACAGCAATTCCAGTGCCAGGCTTGCAAGCAGATAATGTATTCTCATCAATCCATCCTTTATAGACAGATCCAAACCCTCCTTCACCAAGTACACTGTCAGGACGGAAGTTCCTTGTGGCTATCCTGAGATCACTAAAACTGAAGATCTTCACATTGGCTGACTGCAGTATCTCACATTCAGTTTTCGCAGTTGGAGGCATGGAAGCTGAAGAGGCTCGACTACTGCAGCCACTAAGCCTACTCCCATCTTTAGCACCACTCCTTGAGAACATCCCTGCATACATTTGGTACAGTTATAATGAGTAGAAAGCACATGACTGCATTTAGCTGTAATCTAGAAGTTCTCTAGAAAAAAGTCCCAGTACTAATCTTTCCCAGGTCCATAGTATGATAGCACAGTAATAATGTATATAATGTTCTGAATGTTCAATTCTATTTTTAAAAGGAAGCTTTGCACATTAATTAGGAATCAACTAAATCAATCATCAGTTGATCCTTCGCTAAAATTTGGTATGAGTCCTGACAGATGAAGGATTTGCTATCAGCCAATTGCCACGCGCCTACATGTAGCACTACTAGATATACTAGATTTGCTATCAGCTTACGAATGATGATGTGCTCTGGTTTAAAATAACAAAATGACGATTTTGCATAGAGTAGTAGCCATGAATATAATGGGAACAGGGGGAGTTCCCACCCAACCAGAAACTGGAAACAATCATATGCGCTAGTAACCTTATTCCATCAGAAGTACATCCGCTACCATGCGGCTCTCCAGAAAGCTCATATTTATCTACTCTATCTTTAGTAATAATACATTTCTTAAGTAGCCGTTATGATATGAATCAACTAAGTTCAAATCAAAATGAAGCACCTGACATAGAAGTGAGCTATAGTCTTTGTAATTACATAGAACTTTAATGAGGCATACACGGTCATTTTCATATATTCAGATTACTGAATACTAAGCAAATAATCGATCTTGATACAACCAAAAAGTGTATGTTGTAACTGGAAAAGAGAAAAGGTTTGTGATGTTATGTCTAACCGCCTCAAGCCATGTAAAGTACATAATCAATTATTGACAGAACATTGCTAAATCTGGGCGGCAAACCAAATTAAATAGACAGGACGAGTAAAAAACACACACGATCCAATCTCATACCATAGCATCAAATTCAAACTAAATAAGAATCTAAGATTTTTCCTCATTCTATCAATAATTTATGAACTAACAACACATAAAAAAAATCAATTGCAATAGAGAAACAACTAATCTAACAGTATTGTTTTTCTTAACAAGCTGTCCCATAAATTCTTTTGAGACATTTTGCAACAAGAACATATAATATGTCAACTGCAAATATTCACAACAGAATGCCATAAAAAGGTTACTATACGCATTACTAGCAGACTTGCTTCAATCAAATGTTACCTTTCGTCGTCAACACAATATATTATAGACATCGTCATGCCAATTACGAGCTGCCATGGTTGGAGGAATCCAGTACTGGGTCTATCCAGTAGATGGTAGTACAACATTACTACACATGGTACTAGTTAACGATATCAAGCAATGAATGAAGCCTGGATATCCCCATCAATACACATAAGAATGTACCCCCTCACCTAATAATTTAAGGCCTTAGCTCCAATGGCACAACCACCTACAGAGCCTTACAGGCACAGCACAGCCGAAGCTTGAACTAAACTTCTCTAAAAAAAAAGTGATTGTAAAGTCTTACGTTGGCACATAGCTTAACATATTGAGGATGCCACGGTGTAGCTAAAGGGTTGAAATCATCTAGTCAAATTAACAATTGGATCATCAGGAGTATGCCTATCTAACAAGCCAAATCATCCAAACAAGATCGAAGTAGCTTATTCACCTGTACTGTGGAAATCAAAATTTCTAGAAGAAAATAACCCGAATGCTAATGTTCATACGATTGCAACACAAGCTAAATTCTGCGCAGCAACAAAGACTCCACGGCTTCGAAACTCCACCGGAATCACCATAAACTAATCGAACATGCCATCACATCTCGTGGCATAAACAATCCGAGTAAAATGGAAACGGACTGAAGGAATCATGCATCTACGCGATTGAAGCCGGCAACCCATCGAATCATGAAACAAAACAGCACCATAACCAGGCAAAGCAAGCACGCACGCAGGCAGCAAGAGAGAGAGAGAGAGGAAGGATCGCGAAGCATACCAGAGGCTCCCGGTTGCGGGCTCCCATCCTTGATCCGCGCGCCCCACCCACAGCAATTCCCCATCCCCCTCCAACAAGCGACTCGCCCGCGGCGCCGAGCCCAGTCAGGATCGAACCAACCCTCCCGCCGTCCCGACCCGGCGGCGCCGCATGGGGTGAGGGGGGAGGAGAGCTCCACCTAGGGTTTTGGGGGACACCAAGCGCGAGGCGGAGGCGGAGGCGGAGGCGTTGGCTATATAGCGACGAGGACGAGGTGCGCTCGCTGGCGAGAGATGTGGCGTGCGGCGCGTGAGGTGAGGCGAGCGAGTGAGGAGTTAATGGCGGGGGCAAGGGAAGCGGCCAAGCGGAGAGGGAGAGGGAGCGAGGCGGCCCGCGCAGCCACGCCGCTGCTGCTGGCTGCTGCTGCTTCCCGCGTGGCTTCTTCCGGGGAAAAGGGTGGTTGGTGACGGGGAGCGTGGGGAGGAGGAGAGGCGTCGTGGTGCTTGGTGTGTGACGCTGCCGCGCGGGGACCACCGGGCCTCCGGGTGCGACGATTTTTTATCTTTTTACCGCTTCACCTCTCCGAGTTACTGCGCGACTCTGTGAGTGAAGTTACAGTGACGTGAGACTCTGTGGGCTTTGGCCCGGTAGGCCCACTAATTTTATTATGGGCTCGACTTATTATGCGTGAGCATGGCCCAAATAAAATTGTTTACACGCCTGGGAACACCTGTAACTTGCCCTCCAACTTATCAACCGCGGCAAAAATTAAATTTTACAACTTCATTTTAGAGTAAAGTTTGATGTTTTTTGATCGGTGTTTATTTTTTAAGTATTTGCTTTTAAGTTGTTACAAACACATATAAATGTTTTACGTATAACTTTTTTTTGTTGCTAACAAGTGTTACGACATCTAATTAGTTGTAGGTGAAATGTACAGATTATTTTTTGATGTTGTCGTAATAGATTTCTGTCGGCAAAACGTGCAAATATCAAAGGAAGTTTTATGTAAGGGTGGAGCTAATGTATTTCCGCCAAAAAATTGCCCTATGAAGTACCTTTGGTGCAATTTTAATACCAACAATACAACATATAACGATCTCTTTCATTTGGATTGCGATATTCCTTTTTCCTCCAAATTAAATTCCTCTGTTGTAAAGTGGGCTTTCATGCCTAGTGTAGTGTATGGAAATATCTTGATTTCTTGAGCACAAATATAAAAAGTACGTACATATTGTATGTGACAAAGTGTACAGATCCTTTGAAACACAAAAATCGGGATCTCAAAACACATAGTATGGATTTGCGCCTTTGAATGGTCTATCCAATTGTTCAGTGCTACAGAACATCTATTTAGCGATGTATTAGGATTCATTCCCCTTGAACTCTGTCTTTATTAATAAAAGTTTATGAGTTTTTTTTAAAAAAAGAATGGTCTATCCAATTGTTCAAAAGGAATTTAGGGAGAAAAATATCCTAAAAATTATGACAGTTTAATCTTAGAAAAACTGATGTGGCACATTGTGATTCAATCTTGATTTTTATAACTATCCACTAATTAAATCTGACGGTTGAGATTCTTTTGTGTGTAAGAATTTAGCGTATAGCATCAAATTCGTACATGTTGATGGGTGAGAGGGTATAACTACATAATATGCCTCACTATTTTGTGTGGGGATACTGTAATCCCAATTGTAAGATCGGATACCGTAATAAACTGGTAAAACTAGACAAAAACTATCAAATATGGAGTTTTTGTTTTAAGTTTTTTTTAATCTAATCTGTTTCTGAGCTATTAACGTTACCAAAACCTTGTTAGTACGGTAAATCATGTTGCACACTCTGAACCGATCTTGCTTGATCATGACTAAATACGAATATTAAACCTTCGTGATACAATCATCTCATTTTTTAAATTCGAGTAATTTGGTATATGATGCATTTGTTCTACTCCAAGTACCTTCTAACCGATTTGAAAATGCTTACCTTAAACTCCACTACTCAACAACTACTAGCGTGGTTGTTTCTCTTTTGACAACCCGTTCAAACAAAAAGAGATGGGAAAAAAAAAACCGGCCTACAACCTTTGGGCCGGGCGTGTTGAACCCTTCGGACCCAGGCAGATCTCCCCATCTCCGGGACGGGACCCGGCGCGCACGCGACCCGACGCGACGACGCAAGCAGCAGTGGTGGGTAAGGGTGGACTCGACTCCGGCCGTCGCGATGGCGGCCGCCGGCTGGCCGCTCTCCTCCTCCGTCGCCGACCTCCTCCCCGCCTCCCTCTCGCTCACCCTCCTCCTCGCCTCCCTCGTACACCCTCTCCCCCCCTCTGCCCCCTTCCTCCTCCGCCTCCTCGCGCTACTTATCCCTTCTCCCCGCCCCTCCCGTGCGCAGGTGGTCGTCGTGGTGCTGGCCGCCGCCGCCTTCTTCTTCGAGCACATCCGCAAGATCGGATGCACGCACTCGTAAGCGATTCTGTGACTCCCCCCAATCCTGTCGTTGTTTTTGCTCATGGCGATCTGCGTGCGTGCGGTTGTTTGACTGGTGTGTTGTTTCTGGATCTCGGCCGCCTGCAGGCTGGAGAGGACTGAAGTCTCGGCCGCTTTCTTCGAGGACCCCAACTCGCTCAACAAGGTAAGCGAGGGATTCTGTTTACCCACTTCAAACTGAGTATCCTTTTCCCGCTATTTGTTTCCGGTTGCTCGGACTGTGAATGTTGTGCGCGTTAGGTGTTTGTTCATTTGCTCCTGTAAACTGTGCTAGGTTCGTTGCCCTTCAATTTACGACCCTGCTGAGAAGTACATTTCGTTGATCATCCCCGCTTATAACGAGGAGCACCGGCTTCCTGAGGCTCTCACAGAAACACTCAAGTAAGGCTCTGATATGAGCATTTCCTGTTCCTGTTGCTCCGTTGTTTGGAGTATCTTTGAATGATACAGTGGCTGTGTTGTTCTGGTCATTGCTCTGTTATGTTAATCTCTGTGTTCTTTTGTTTCTCTGGTAGCTACCTGAAACAACGTTCAGCTGTCGAGAAGTCATTTACTTACGAGGTATGTCAGGGCAGAACATGCTAACAGCTTTATTTGACACAGTAATACATCAGGGAAGAAAACGTTAGGCTGATTTTGCAAGCAAAACTAATCAAGCGTAAATGAGAAAGTATGCATTTCACCATCATGAGATATGTTAGCGAGCTGGTTAATCACTTCGCCACAATGGTGACACCGTGGCAGTCCATTAGTCTTGCAATAGTAACTGTTTCTATGTCATATATTCACTTTTTACCTGAGATATATCAATATCTTGTTTGGAATGACATTTGAATCACTGAATTTGTTAGCTAGGAAATGCACAGTGTGGGAGCCAAACACTATTGATCCAATAAAGCATTTACCTAAACTGGTGTGTCAGGTTGCTCGGACCTTAAAGATAGGACTTTGTATCTAGGGTAGTGATGTTTTGTTGATACCGCTTGCTCTTTAGATCAATTGAGACCATAAGCTATGATGCCTTTGCAATGCTTCTGAACATATCAGCCATATCTCTCAATTATATCATGCTCTTTAAACACATATTATGTATAACTCTTATTAACATTTGCACTATTATATACTGCATAACACCATAACCAGATATTTGGCATATTATTATTGCAGAACCTTTTATTCATAAATCCTGCTTAAATTAGCTAACATTGGAAATCGGAGAACTGATTTGCTTTTACTGAATTTCATAAAGGTCTTGATCGTTGATGATGGAAGTACTGATCATACATCAAAAGTTGCCTTCGAGTTTGTAAGGAAACATAAAATTGATAATGTTAGAGTTCTTCTACTTGGGAGAAACCATGGTAAAGGCGAAGCAGTCAGAAAAGTGAGTAAATGTACCAGTCGATCCCCCCCCCCCCCCCAACTCCCCTCACTAGTTCAATAAACACACCCACCCTCACCCAAACTAGTTCAATGAAATAAGCACTGATTAATTCTTTCCCATCTGTGGAAAAATTGTACAGGGCATGCTCCATTCACGTGGTGAACTGTTACTCATGCTTGATGCTGATGGGGCAACTAAGGTTACTGATTTGGAAAAGCTTGAAGCCCAGGTCTGTCATAAGTTAAATCAAAACATGTTTTATAAAGTTTTGTTATGCATACTTTGATCGTGATTGGTAACATCTTGGAATCATATCGTGCTCCTAGGTTCGCGCATTGGCTAAAAAGGCTGAGTCCAGCCTAGCACCATCTAGCAGTCCATCTCAGAGACTATCTGATGCTGAAATTGCTGTTTTTGGTTCACGTGCTCATCTGGAGAAGCAGGCTCTTGCCACAGTAAGTGCCCCCCACCCCAAAACAAAAAACCTTTTCAATCGTGCGTTTTTGTTCTCTTAGATTTTCATGTTGTGTTGTATTTGTGCTTTTCCTGGCGTACTGCAGAGGAAATGGTATCGGAATTTTCTTATGAAAGGTTTCCACCTGGTAGTTTTATTGACAGCTGGTCCTGGGATCAGAGACACACAGGTATGCTTTGCAAACATAAGTCGTACCATTAATTCATGTGGACAGTTTTGCTTTGGTATTGTGCTATGAACTAAATTCCATTTTCTTATTGCTAATTTAGTGTGGTTTCAAGATGTTTACTCGAGCTGCTGCAAGGAAACTTTTTACAAATATCAGATTGAAGAGGTACCTTTGTTGTTATGTTCTCTAAATATTGTCATGCTTCTGTTTATCAAATCCTGTCTTATTTTTGGCGTGTAACCAGGTGGTGTTTTGATGTTGAGCTTGTATACCTATGCAAGCATCTCAGGATCCCAATGGCTGAAGTATCTGTAAACTGGACTGAAATACCTGGATCCAAAGTGCGTATGACAAGCATCCTGCATATGGTATTTGAGCTCCTGCTGATCAAAGTAGGTTATGGACTGAGCATATGGAAAATCTATTCATAGACCATATGCACGGTACGCTGACAATCACCATAGCTTATCATCACTGGACTGTATACCAAGCTTAGTCTCACATGTAAAATTTTTCCAAGATTTTCACCTAGAGAGAATCCATTTGTGGCGCTGAGTATTCCATCATAGATTTCAACAAAGATATAGATCACGTGTATTGTTCCTGCTGATGAAATTCTTTAATCATTTTTTTAGCATTTTACGAAGTTGGGAAGAATCGAAAATTTGACTACCCTTCATGTTTGATGTTTGATTTGACGGATCGTTTTGTTTTTAAAAAATTGGCTTGAAGTACTATGCCTTTTGGATGGTCTGAATGGTGAATAATGGTACCGATCATATAATCACTAAGTATACCATCTATATAGTTAAATCATTAGCTATGTAATAAATGAACAATGGTGTGCTTCACCGTCTCGGAGAAGACTGTCAAGAGGTTTTGTTGTCTGCCATGTAAAGGTTTGCTGAGAATTACAGAATGTGCTCCAGAAGCCATTTTGTGAAAGGACTTGAGCTGATGTTATAGGCTATCAGTTGTATGGCGATGTTGGTACAGATTCGACTGCCTATATACTTCTGACATCACCAATGCGGTTTTTTTAGTTTTCACTTAGGCTGTGTTTAGATCAGTACAAAGTTTGGATTTTGGTTGAAATTGGAGATGATGTGACTGAAAAGTTGTGTGTGTATGACAGGTACATGTGATGGAAAAAGTTAGAAGTTGGATCTAAACACAGCCTTAGCTATTCGCTCCATTCCTCTTCAATTCATTAGTATTTGAGTTGCAATAAATTATAGATGACTGAACATTTACACTCTACAGGTCTACCGGACTTTCTGGTAGATTATACTCTCTCAGATTCTTCATATTACAGTACGGTATCATGTATCAGCTGAATATCTCAGCTGGCAACAAAAGCATCTCTTCTTTTATCTCTTTAAAATATGTTTATAGCTGCCTTATAGTATGCTATGTACCTGCTCTAAATAGCTTAATACCATACCATTATCATTAAGTATACCATCTAGGAAGTTAAAACATTAATTAATAAAATAAATCTATTACAGTTAACTAAAGGTATTATACAAGTCGGAAAGATTGGAGTACTAAGGGTGTGTTCAGTTCATGCCAAAATTGGAAGTTCCGTTGAAATTGAAACGATGTGACGGAAAAGTTGGAAATTTATGTGTGTAGGAAAGTTTTGATGTGATGGAAAAGTTGGAAGTTTGAAGAAAAATTTTGGAACTAAACTCGGTCTAAATAACAGTTGATGTAAAAGCATACTAATATTTTGCAAAGAAGGCCCCGTTGTTTTCTTATTGAGATGTACAGTAGATTCTACCTTGGTTTCTATTATCATGTTTTTCAAAATATTAAATAGTATGTTTCGTGCAAAAACTTTATATATAAGTTTTTCTAAAATATCTAATAAATTTATTTTCAAGTTTATAATAATAAACATTTAATCAATTATACCCTAATGGCATCCGATACAGGAGTACTATAGTATCCAAGAGACGAGTGGGCTGATTTGCGAAAACGTATTCTGAAAGACCAAAACCGAGCCGCCCTGCCTCGGCGCGCCATGTGTTCGAGCAAATGCCTCCTCCAGTCTCCTCCCCGTCGGCTCCGCGCCTCTCGCCGTCCGCGGCGCGCGCGGCCGAGCAGCATTGCCTCCGCCTCCTCGCGGCCTCCTCGACGCCCACGTCCCTCCTCCAGTCGGTCGCCTTCCTCCTCAAGTCCGGCCTCCACGCCAACTCGCTCGTCCTCACCCGGCTCTTCGCCGCCTCCGCCTCCGCCGCGCCCGCGCTGCTCGATCCCCTCGTCACCGCCCTCCTCCGCCCCTCCGTCCCGCTCGACGCCTTCCTCGCCAACACCCTCATCCGCGCCCACGCCACCTCCCCGATCCACTCCCTCCGCCTCCGCGCCGCCGCCTTCTTCCCCCTCATGCTCCGCGGCGCCGTCGTTCCCAACAAGTTCACCTTCCCCTTCCTCCTCAAGGCGTGCGCCGCGCTCCCGGGATCCCCGGACGTCGGCCTCCAGGCCCACGCCGCCGCTCTCAAGTTCGGGTTCGCGACGGATCAGTACGTCTCCAATACTCTCATACACATGTACTCCTGCTTTGGCGGCGGGTTCCTTGGCGACGCGCGGAATGTGTTTGATAGAATGCCCAAGGAGAGTGCCGTTACCTGGAGTGCGATGATCGGCGGGTATGTGCGTGGGGGGCTGTCGAGTGATGCTGTCGATCTCTTCAGGGAGATGCAGGCCAATGGGGTACAGGCCGATGAGGTGACAGTGATTGGAGTCCTGGCGGCGGCCACAGATTTGGGTGCACTTGAGCTGGCTCGATGGGTCCGACGCTTTGTGGAGAGAGAGGGGATCGGGAAGTCTGTGACACTGTGCAATGCACTGATCGACACGCTTGCTAAGTGTGGAGATGTGGATGGGGCGGTGGCTGTGTTTGAGGGGATGCAGCAGCGGAGTGTTGTTTCATGGACATCGGTGATTGATGCGCTTGCGATGGAGGGTCGTGGGAAGGAGGCTGTGCGAGTGTTTGAAGAGATGAAGGTTGCAGGTGTTCCACCTGATGATGTTGCCTTCATTGGGGTGCTCACAGCTTGCAGCCATGCTGGTATGGTGGATGAAGGCTGTGGCTACTTTGATGCCATGAAAGTGGAGTATGGCATTGAGCCTAAGATTGAGCACTATGGTTGCATGGTTGACATGTTTGGTCGGGCTGGCATGGTTGAGCGGGCGATGGAATTCGTCCGTACAATGCCTATACAACCGAACCCAGTAATATGGCGATCACTTGTTTCTGCTTGTCGTGCGCATGGCCGCCTTGAGCTAGGTGAAAGCATCACAAGGAGCCTTCTTCATGAGTACCCGGCCCATGAGGCCAACTATATCATGCTCTCGAATGTCTTTGCACTAACACAGAGATGGAAGGAGAAGTCAGAGATAAGGAGAGAGATGAGCAAGAGAGGAATCAAGAAAGTGCCAGGCTGTAGTATAGTTGAGCTTGATGGAGAGGTCCATGAGTTCATAGCCGGAGATGAGTCTCACCCGCAGTACAAGGATATATACCGGATGGTTGAGGAAATGGCAAGAGAGCTAAGGCGCGTTGGGCACATTGCAGCTACCTCAGAGGTCTTACTTGATCTTGATGAGGAAGATAAGGAGGGTGCACTTCAGTGGCACAGTGAGAAGCTGGCAATTGCATTTGCACTACTGAGAACTCCTCCTGGAACACAGGTCCGAGTGGTTAAGAACCTACGTGTGTGCTCGGATTGTCATGCAGCTATAAAGTGCATTTCACAGGTTTATCGACGGGAGATTGTAGTGCGTGACCGGAGTCGTTTCCATCGCTTCAAGGATGGTTCCTGCTCATGCAAGGATTTCTGGTGATGAAATTGTGTTTTACAAGGTTATTCTGTTTTGGACAAGATGCTAATGAATTTTCCAGGGAGCTCCTGCAAGTCTCACACATCTGCATTGCAACACAAAGGTTTTCCACAGAAAAATGTGATGCTTATTCAAGGACGATGGAATCAGAATTGGAATATAATTCAGGTACTTCTTCTTGTAAACTGAGTCTTCTTGATACATGCTTTTCTTTTTGGATCAGCTGTCAGTATAATTCATAACTTTTATGCAAATGAACCGTATGCACATCCCCAGTTCTTGCATCAAAGGTTGTTCTAAAAGGCCTAGAGAAACATAAACAAAAATCACTATGATGCTAATCACACAAACAAAAATCACTATGATGCTAATCTGTGAGCAGTCCAACATTTTTATACAGTAACACACTCAGAAAGTGTGTTCTGGATTTTGACAGTCTATCTGAATATACGGTGCCCACATTTCTGATGCACAAGTCTTCATCTTATTTAGGCTATACACAAGTTTTGTCTTATTTCAAAATATGCATAAGCTTCATACGAAAATTTGGAAATTTCATGATGAGCACAAGTTAATTGCAAAAAACAAATTAGGCCATCTTCAAGTGCAGAGGGTTCCTACCTCATACTCCCACCGTCCCAAAATATAAGGGATTTTGGGTGGATGTGACATATCCTAGTATTACGAATCCTTATATTTTGGGATGGATGGAGTACTATTTATTCTGATTGCCGTTTTCATGTTTTTCTAATTTTGATCCATGTTTGCTGACAATAATTCACTTGATTTTGCAGAAAATATCAATTATCAAGGTTGAACTTTTCTTTTGTACATACACCAATAGATTGGATCGATCAATCCTGAGGCATCATTAAATTTTGATCTCTCGACAGTGTGAGGTTATGGATTCTGCCCGCCGCATGCATGAAAATGGGATCTTGATCTATCTGGAGCATAATAAATGACTGGTGTTAGCCCCATGGCTTGAACGATGGTTCCTGCTGCAAAGAATTCCGGTGATGGAACTTTGATTGACCAAGGTTGTGGAAAACCAAGGGGAGTGCTACGACTTTACGACAGACAAGAACGTTATGTTTGGAGGGGTGGAATTTTGAGACTAGATTGGGCACATTTCAGAAGAACACGAACTTTTCTTTTTATTTTTTGCCCTAAACAGGACAGCATGTGAGCTTGGTGGGATAGAGTTCGGTGGTTGCTGGTCGGAAATGAGATGTAAGATCATTTGAAGAACTGAGAGAAGAACATGGTAGAATTGCAGAGAGCCAGTGACAGATAAATGAAGTATTTCACTATTTCGGTTTAACAAAGACAGATGGTAATTGGTGACAAGCTAAAGACAGATAGTGACAAAAGATTGCCATTTGATATATGGTGGTCTATTATTGATGCGTTCAAATCTATATTTTCTGCGGACACAAGTTAACCAGGCTGTCAAAATATTCCATATCTTCCGCCAAGCTCTCCATGGAATGCACAAAGCTGCGGAGTTGATCTATTTCAAGGTCACATTCCATAATCTCTTTGTCGGCGATGGCTCTGACTGCATCGAGGACGCCGTAACCCTGTCGCTCAGCTTCCTTGAGGACATCGGCCCAGCGAGCCAGCCATTCCATTCTTCTTATGTCAAGTACTGGCACGATCTCGACGGACTCGCCGATATCAACCAAGGCTTGTTGGAGTCTTTCCTCTAGTTCATGGAGTTTCCAGGAATCTGCTCCTTCAGGTAGGGAAACGCCGTCTACCTGAGCGACTGAGTCATAATTATCAAATGACAACACTTCCATGTCGTTAAATGACAACACCCCCCCTTTTTTTAATACGCGAGGAGCATATCTTTATATTAAGAAGAAATAAATATATGTACAAAGCGGACGAAAAAAACAAAGCGAAAGGGACAGGGTACAGGAGGAGAACCAAAAACCAAAAGCCTAATCTTCTACTAAAATTTGCGACCCTTCTCCACTAACATGGGCTACCAAAACAGGGATTGCAGCTCTAGCTAAGCCGCCACAGCTCCGCTTCATCCGTTATAACCCTTGCAACCTCCGCCCAAGTTTTGCTCTTCTGGTTGAAGACATTGTTTTTTTTTCCTTCCAGATCGTCCATGCAACCAACGTTGCGATGGTGTTGAAACCTCGGCGATGTTCCTTGACCATCTTCTTACGACAGTCGCACAACCATGAAAATAAAGAGTGTTCATTGAGCGGTAAGCACTCCGAATGCCCGATAGCTCTGAGCGCAACCCACCACAGTAGCCGCGACTCCGGGCATGCGACCAAGAGATGATCAATCATCTCTTCGCATTGATCACAAAGAACACATCGATCTGAGTGCAACAAACCACAGCTCCGGAGGCGGTCCGCTATCCAGCAACGGTTAAGGGCGACCAACCAAAGGAAGTAGAGACGGCAAGGGGGCGCCAAAGATTGCTAAATTGGCTTGTGCTGGAGATGAGTTCTACCAAAAAAGAGAACACGATAAAGCCGAGCGGGAAGAGTATTCTCCTGAGGTCTCCCACCGCTAAGATAGAGACCGGTTCTTCGGAAAGCTACACTGACCGAAGGCAATCCCAAAGCTTAAAATATTCCAGGATCGCTTGAGTACCCAACACCGAACTGATGTCCTGGATCCATCTTTTGTCAGTTATTGCCTCGGCCACCGTGCGATGATTCCGGAGACGAGCAGGGACGGCTGCATAGACAGCCAACGCCAGCGACCGAATGGAGGAACCCTGCAGCCAGCAATCCTCCCAGAACAACACCGAATTCCCATCTCCCACCAAGCATACGTGGAAATCGATACTAGATTGCGCTTCTTCTGCGAGACCGGAATATTAAGCCCTTGCCGCGGCTTTTCCGGTGAAGTTCTCTGCTGCCAGAGCCATCTCAACCTCAGAGCGATTTCCAACCTCTCTAGATCGGGGATCCCCAAACCACCATACTCCTTGGGCGAGCAAACTTGAGCCCAGACGACCCGACAGACGCCGCCGTTTGCAGAAGCTTTGCCAGCCCAAAGAAAGCCGCGGCAGATCTTGTCAATCCCTTTGATAACCCACTTCGGTGCATTGATGGCCATGAGCAGGTAAACGGGAATTGAGCTCAGTACAACGTTCACCATGGTAGCCCGGCCAATAGGCGTCATCAAGTGAGACATCCAAGAAGGCAAACGGCGCGCGATTTTGTCAACCAGCGGCTGCAGGTCTTCCTTCTTCAGGCGGAAGATGGACAAAGGCAACCTAGGTATGTGCAAGGAAAGGAAGCGACGTGACATGGCAACTCATCATGAAGAGTTTGAAGATCCGTCTCATTGCACTGGATTGGAGCGCCGAACATTTAGCAAAATTTGTTCGAAGACCAGACACTTCTCCAAAAATGGCAAGAATTTGCATGGCTGTGCGAATCTCATCCACAGCTGGCCGTATAAATGCGACCACATCATCAGCATAGAGGGATACACAAAAAGGAATCCCTAGCGGCTGCAGCAAACCTTCAACCTCAGCCTTGGAGAAGATGGAACTCAGCACATTCATGGCTAAGATAAAAATCATCGGGGAAATTGGATCTCCCTGACGGACGCCTCGCCGATGCAAAATTGGGCAGCCTGGCTCACCATTGATTAAGACCCTCGAGCTAGTTGTTCGAAACAACATGGCAATCCATGAGCGCCACCGAAGGCCGAAGCCTTTGTGCTCCAAAACTTCCAAAATGAATTGCCATGAAATGGAATCGAAAGCTTGGGCAGTATCAAGCTTCAGCAGCGCCGATGGAGTCCTTCGATCATGCAAGCGTTTAGCTGATTGCCGCACTAGCATGAAATTGTCCTGGATGCAACGTTTCTTCACAAACGCACTCTGGTTTTTAGCGACCAATGCATCCAACTTCGGCGCAAGGCGGCGAGAGAGAACTTTTGTGAAAAGCTTCACAAAGCTATGTACCAGACTTATGGGCCGAAAGTCCTTGAGCTTCCTGGCATCCGACCTCTTAGGCAGTAAGGTGATGAAAGCCTTGTTAACCTTACCAAGGCTGGACCCATCCATTCGATGAAGTTGATTCAAAGCCGCCATAATGTCCTCCTTAATGATGTCCCAACAGCAGTAATAGAACTGACCAGAAAAACCATCCGGCCCCGGGGCGTTGTCACGAGGGCTGTCAGCGATTGCCTTCCACACCTCATCCACAGTGAACGGTTCCTCCAAGTCAGAGAGCTGCTGCCCCCTTGGCTCAAAGTAGTCAAGATCCACCGAAAACTCACGATGACTGACAGAGCCGACTTCAGAGAAGAAATTATGGGCAAGGGCGGCCTTTTCATCTGGGGCTGTGGCGATCTGCGAGTTGTGCTCGATTTGTTGCACAAAATTCTTTCGACGCCGCCAGGCGGAATGCTGATGAAGGAATCGTGTGTTGGCATCACCTTCCTGCAACCTAAATGACAACCCTTCCATGTTGTTTGAGGACATTTGGCTACGGCGCCGCTTTGGATTCGGCGAGGCCTCTAGCTGGAGCAACGCTATGAACTCCCCGATGTTCGCCGACTCTTTCTCCAGCGCCTCCACGGCGCCGTTCAGCTTCTTCACTTCCTCGTCACTGGAGAAGAGCGCGATGGCTATGGTGATGACGCGCTGTGCCATGCCTGATAGGGCCTTCCTTTTGAAGGACAAAGCAGTAGCAGGCACAGAACTGCTACTGCTGCCTTCCTCCTGCTGCTGCTGGTGGTCGCTGGCGTTCTGACCAGTGGCTTCGTCGACGTCTGCTTCCCGCTGCTGGAAGCTATGGAGAACCTCCTCACCACGGGAGGCGGCTTCTTTGAGCTTGTCCTGCCACTGGATCAACGCGGCGCTCTTGATGGCGCGCTTCTCTGACACCTCGATCGTGCTGTGGATTTTGATCAGCAGCATCTCCAGCCGCTGGAGCTTCTCGGCGGTGGCCGTTTGCTGGTTGAAGTTCTTGAGAATCTTGGACACCGCCCTGTCTGCGACCACGGCGGTCACTGCGGTGGTGATGGAGCGGCGGGAATCGAACCCGTATCCTCTCCTCGGCAAGGAGATGTTTTGCCGCCTGGGTCGACCGTCTATGTCTGGGTCGACCGTTTCATTTTCTATTTGAGTTTTCTTTTTATTAATTTAATTGTCTGTCAATCAATTCGGGGTGCAAATTGCATTTTAATGCGTCTCACAATCCGAATAAACGGCCCTTTTTTATTTTGTATTGGGCTACTAAATACTAAACACATTTAAGAAATGAGAGAATTTAGAATAGCTACCAGAAAGACCAGTCCAATCCATAATGATGTACCGGAAAATACAACGTTTTTATTGTTTGACCAACCATCAGGAGAAGCAAATACAAGGGGTACACTAATGACTAAGACTGAGGAAGTCACAATTAATGCAAAAACAGCTAATTGGAAAGCAATAGTCATATTTCTAATCCTCCAAGTTACCATCAAATAAAGTTGACTACATATTATATTTGATCCCTCACTTAATCAAAATTGTAATAAAATACAAGAAGTAAGAGGGGTTTAATCATGAATCCATTGATTCTTCTCTTTAAAACTTATTACTCACCACTTTTTTTATTTGGATATGGGGTTGAGGGGGTTTTATGCTTTATTTCACAAGCGGATATAGCGGATCCTGTATACATGGATACAGTATACAGAAATATATCGAAAAGGGACTTGTATTCGAGATGTTTCTAGAGGTTAGTGAGTCATTTCGTATGGCTATGTTCTATTTGTAGGAATAAAATAAGGATTAGGCTGTGGAGAGATGGCTGAGTGGTTGATAGCTCCGGTCTTGAAAACCGGTATAGTTCTAGGAACTATCGAGGGTTCGAATCCCTCTCTCTCCTTTTGCTTTCCTCTCTCTCTTTTCTTTTGCGTATTGAATACGTTTGTTTCTTTATTTGTTTTTTTTGTTTTGTCCCCTTATCTTTCTTTCATAGAAAGGAATGAATGGCTCGGCTAGATAGAATACCCGAGCCAGAACAGAAAAAAACAGTAGAACCCTAGATTGTTTCTTATGGCCATACCGCCTGAAGGATTTAATAGGGACTTGGTGACACAAACTAGGCGTGCCATAGACATAGTTGGTGTCATCATAAGGCCGACCCTCCATTTATATTTTTAATGGCGGAAATGGGCCAGCCCTGCATTTTTTTTAAAAAAATGGAGCTACTTCACATCAGCTAAGGGCCTAAGAACTCACTCAAGGCATATAAGTTCCATCGCCATTATTTTGTCCCTTTATAGTTGCACAACACTACACAAGGGCATCAAGTTAGTTCCACGGGCAAAGGTCCACCAAGAAGTTGAAACATGGCATGTCCAATGCCAACCTATCCACAGTACGCGCAAAGCCGTAAAGATCATCTGCTTTCTCACTGCCAGCTTTGCCATCGCCGTCACGGCCGGCGAAGATTGTGCCAACAAGGACGTTGCCTCTCTGCTCAGCCTCCCGTAGAATAGCCGCCCACTGTCCCAGCCATTTGAAATCGTCCAAGTTTCTTTCATCTGCCTCCTCGACAGCCCTGCCCATACAGATCAGCACTTGTTCTAGCATTTCGGCGAGCTCCTTCTGATCCTCCACTAGCACCTCTGTATTTTCAAGCTCCTCACTCGTGATGGTCTCCTCCGTCTTTTTAGTTGATATCTTCAGATTTTGCATTGGCAATGTCTGGGTGGATAATAGCCTATGAAGTGACATGACAATAGGTTCAGAACTCTCCTCCTCCGTCTTTTCAGTTGATACCTGCAGTTTTCGAATTGGCAATGTCAGGGTGGAGCATTTGGTTCTTCGGTCGAACTCAATATGTTGAGAACGCTTCATCCGTTTGCTAGGTCTCTTCTCCAGCTTCGGTGAGACCTCCAGTATAAACTCTTGGATATCTGGAGACAGCTCCCCCAACCTCTCCAACGATCCATTCAGCTTTTCCATGTCTTGGTCGCTCGCGAAGAGCGCCTTCATGGCGCTGTGCATCCGCCGTGCCATGCCAGAGAGAGCACTCCATGTGAAGAACACGGCAAGGGATGCGCCGGTGGCCACGCCGGCTCTGCTGCTGCCGCCGCCGCTGCTTTGCTGCTCATCATCGGAAGCCGCGAAGCGCCCGATAACCCTCCTCGACGGCTTCTCTGAGCTTCTGGCGCCACTGGAGCAGCGAGCTGCTCTCGATGGCGCTCCGGATCCTGAGCAGCAGCACCTCCAGCCGCTGCAGCTTCTCGTGTGCGGTAGCTGGCGCCTGCAGCCTCCGCCCAACGGTGGATATCGTCCGGTTAGTGATCTGGCCGACCACCGCGGAAGTGACTGCTTGTTCTGCCATCTCTCGGTAATGTTAATGTTAATACTCGTCGAGTGATCAATCTCGCCAGAGATCGATATATATACAACAAGTACGTTATATTCTGGAGAGAAAAACGTGAGCTTGATCTTACTAGTTTCATATATACACAACAAGTACGTAATATTCTGGAGAGAAACGTGAGCTTGATCTTACTAGTTTCCATCGCCTTACGGTGATGCTCTTGGGACAGAGGCAGACAACAACTGCAGATTGGCTGGGCACATAGTTTGTATCGGGCTAAGGCCTGCAAGAAATAAAATGGTCGTAACGACGTGTTGAGTTTATCAGTATGACAGTATCTGGCTGTCCTATTTAAAAAACGCCAGCACTGTCTCATCTCGGCTTCTTGGATGTACTACAATGCACAAGCTTCTTGGATACAGAGGAGCACAGCCTCACGCCCTCACGTGGAGTCACGGTTCTCATAGCATAGCGCGCAGTGGACACGGGTGATTCCTTCCTGCTGCTGCTGCTGATTTTTTTGGTGAACGCGTAAAAAAATTATACGTCGATATATTAGAGGAAAAAAAATTTTGTTACACAGTACAATCGCTGCTGCTGGGCTGCCCGCTGCTGTGGAAGCTGGGGAGAGCAGAGAGCCTCCTCGCCGTGGGAGGCGGTCTTTGTGGGCTTCACACGCCGGGGTGGTTTAGATGGGCCGCAACGGAGCACGTGGAAAGTGACCCCGTCCCAAGGCCTCTTGTAGGCCGTTGGAAGAGATTACGCGAAACATATGGGCCTCTTTTCGCCGATGTGATGTACTCAACCCACGGTCTTACAATGGGGCACGGCGCCAACCAGCAAGAGAACGAAACGCTGCTGATCCAGACGTCACAAGCGCAAGAACGCTAGCCATCTACCACCATGTACAGTAGTAACACGACGCCAACCCAAAGCTTCGTCAAAAGCCAAGGGGCCCCTCGTACTACAACTCTCTCTAGATCGATCGTCAGTTCTCTCGCTACGCCCGGCGAGAACAACGGCGAAAGCCGGAAAGAGACGTGACACCGCCGTTCCCCACCGCACGGGGCGTTACGACCGTTTCGCCGTAGCAACCAACTCATAATCACACATCCATGCAAAAAAACCGATCGAGCTGTTTCCCGGCCGTAGCAGCAGCAAAAGTCAATCCCTCACTTCTGGAAGCTTACTTAACATGCAAGTAAGAAAAACAAAATCCGACGCATGCATCGATCCATTTCTTTAATTTACGGTCAAATCAGTCCCATGAAAACCAGGAGGATCTTAGTAGCTTAATTATCTGTTGACCTACTGTGCATGTCCGTAATTTGGTGGCGCTGGCCTGAAAGCTTCTCCAGTTCTGACTTTTTGCAGGCAGAGTGTGTATAGCTAGTGCTCTGACTAATCCGGCTCTCGATCATCAGCTGATCTGCTTCTTGCTGGAGGTTTAACTGTGAAATGATGGTGTCTGCTCTGCTTTTCCCTTTGCTCCTTCTGGAAAGGAAAGCATAAACATTGACATAATGACAATTTCAGATCTTAGTGACGACTTAATCTTGGAGATCTTGCATGCAATTATGTCAGGGTCAAACTTTAATTGGTTAGTTTAGTCTCGACCTCTCGTTGTGTGCACCTCACTTAGAATGGTCAGCTAGCTACCATGCTTGCATGCATACATGAATTCATATATATACAAACTGGTTGAACAAAAGCTAGTAGTAGTAGATTAGTCAGACACTTCTCCTTTCGTTTAATTTTAGGTGTGTGAAATGGTCGTTGAACGCCAAAATGTCTAAGTGGGCTTGCACGAGTTCAACGTACGTACCACCAAATTAGCTTTCCTAGTCATAAATCACAAAGTACTGTAATGAGTACTAAAATAAGTCAGCTGGTGTCATCAATTATATATTTTCGTACTCCACGATTAGTCCATATATTTAATTTCAGTGGCTGACTAAAAACGCAAGCCAATTATAGCTTTTCCAGTACACAGTATTATAAGCCTGTCATATATACACATGATGTTGTTTCAAAATACTACTACAAATTTACTCGTATATATTGAACTACAATCAAGATACATTTGGGTATTTCCTCCGACCAGTTCGATTTTTATAGCTTCTTTAGTAATAGTAACCCAGTTTGGTTTATGAGCTATAGTGAAACGTTGAAATCAATACAATTGCCAGACAAAGTTTTTTATTAAAAAGATTGAGACTACAACAACCAAGTTTATTTATATACGGCAGCTGCTAGCGCACGATTTAAATATGCAACTCCATGATCCACATTTGACTACAAATCTACAAACTAATTTAATAAATACTAGTAGCAAATACATTAACTATTGAGTCAATCCATAGGGAGCACGCCTATGTAGACCTTGGCTTTGTTTGGAAAAAAAAAAGCAATATGTTTTTTGTTTAATCCCGTATGATTGTTATTTGCATGCCGACGTGAGGATCAACCTAATCCATGTTAGCATGATGGATGCAAAATGCAATTAAGTATTTGATTAGTAGGCCGGAGTTAGTGGGTGCTTACCAGTGTGCACACTTGGACCTTAACTTTTTCTTACTTGAAATACTATAAACAAATTAAATAAATCCTGCTCTTAGTAATTTGAATTATGGGGGTGTCGTCAACCATGCATTGATAATTAATTTAAGAGGCCATCACATACTAGGGCATTGACTTGTGCTACTGTCAATCCATTGGATTGGATTAGTTGTAACCCACCTGTTTTAAAACTTTTGATTTGTATTTCTTTTTAGGTCATCGGAAAGATACCAAGTACAACAAAAAATGTTGGTGCCTCTTGTCGGCTCTTGTTATAATGTCAGTATGGTAAAAGAAAAACTATTTGATTTATGGCAGATACAAATTTTGAGCTGGTGACCAGCTCGAGATCAATTGCAATGTCGTTTAATATATATTAAGGAATAATGATTGGAAAAGAAAGTCAAAACGATTTGAAAATATAATATGCACTGTATTGTATCGTACGTTTTCATGAAAATTCAAACTAATCTTTTACGTATCTGGGTCGGTACATCGATCTGCTTAATCTGTATTGAATACCACTTGAATGTTGAAGCCCAAAACGTCCAACAAAAACAGATCAATGAAACCAAATCTCACCAGCTCTGTTTTTTTTTCCTCTTGTACGACTCTAATTACGTGACGTATTAATTTTATCAACATGTTAACACAGAGTTGAGAAATACACATGACGCCACGATTTGGTAAACTGCCTGGTTGGTCTCCAACATCTGTTCTTTGACCAGGAGAAAAAAAGCAATTAATTAAAGCAGAACATATGCAAGACATCAAAAGGGTAAGTGAGCCTTTTGGTTAATTACTAAGTACATTTATCAGGGCATAGCAAGGTGAATAATTACATGTACTTCATTATGCATCGTGATGATGCATTTCCTGTACTGTTTGCACATGCATGCATGTGGGG